GTCCAGTTGCCATGACTCAACCTCCAGATAATTCCACCTGGATGACTGAGAATCTTCATCACCATTTACATCTACATCCCACAAATGAATCAGAGGTTGAAATTCGTTGTCAACAACCCTGGACAAGATTAGTGACTCCTGACCGGTGTCTTTTTCTGTTAGGGATGCACGGTCAGTGTGAATCTGATAGACTCTTGGCATATGTTGCAAGGACAGCTAATGTGATGCCTTATGGCTACTAAAAGGTTATTATTCGTTTACAAGTATTGGTGTGCAGATGAATAGAACAAAAGCAGTATGGCATGCGGTGGACGGCATTGTCCTCTTCTATGGGCAAGACAGAAGACATGTCCTACCAGTTAGTCCTACTGAAGGCATGTCCTACTGATACATGAGCTCTTGCAGATGTCCCCAGAGGACTAACATGTCTGTACCATAGGGCTAGCATGGGGTCATAAGTAGAGTCCAAAAGGAGTTGCCTAACCTGTGAATCATCAGCTATGCACAGGTCCCTAGACAGACAAGTAATTTAAGCTCGTATTTCGTTTGGGCTTCACACATTCCAGCTAAAGCAAATCTCTTTTCCATATCCACTCATCTGCTGAGCAAACTCCACTTAGCACATTGCAAAGGATTCAGGGGCATATTGTGTGGCACAGTCACTTCCCACCAAAGGTTACTAAACCAGTTGGATTTCATGGTTCCCTGAATGAACACAGAGTGTGATAAGTATGGAACATTCTCTCTTGTAGCCATATACTGCAGGGAAGGTGAGTACTGATCTTCTGTTGGAAATCTATTTTCATTTTTTTTTTTGGTTGCTTATTTTAAAATATTTATAACCTTTCTGCTCCCCCCCCATACTTAAGAACAAAAACATACAACAATCAACTCTGATAAAAAACATTCATAAAGCAAGAGCAGCTGATAGAATGAAATACTGTACTGAACAGCATAGAGAATGCAGCAATACAATCTTATGCCTCTACTCTACCCCGCAAAATGAAACAATCCTCAAGTAAGTCAGAAGGGAAAGAGTCCAAGGCAAGATAGAGAAGGGTATCTAGTGCCAGGGTAGCAAGACAAAATGACACTACTGTATCATGCATGTTCTATCTGCTTTATCTTTGAAGGTGGAAAGATTCAGGATATTCCTTGGATGGAAACTGCAAAGTTTGGGTAAATAAAGACTCCTTTGAGTCCAGCTTGACTCCTGGTGATCATGGACATCATACAGTTTTCTTGGCAACACTATGGAAGTGATCTGCTACTGCCTTCTTCTGAGATGTGTTTCACTTCCCTGTGTAGCCTACAGTCCCAGGATTGCCTGAGTCATCTTCCATCTAAGTACTAACCAAAGCCAACCCTGCTTAGTTTCCAAATCCAAACTAGGTCAGTTAGGTGTTGCCACCTCCTGTGATAAGATAAAAATACTTTTGAGTTGACTCCTGGTGACCATGTGGCTATGTCTGTGTAGCTTTTCTGGCAACTGCACAGAAGTAATTGGCCATTGCCTTCTTCCAGTACTAATTTTTTAACTCCATAGTCTGGCCTACTGCCCTGAATTCCCTCCCGATTTCCCATCCCAGCTACTAATCAAGACTGACCTTGCTTAGCTTTTGAGCCCAGGGAGTTAAGGTCACCCAAGTGCTGCCACAGCTGAGACAATGCTTGGCTATCATAGTCAAAAAATCTGTGCAATTCATACTCACCTACTTCATCTTGAAGGACCACAGTTGGCTATCAATATTTTATCTGAGGGACCCCAGACACTATTTGATAACTACACTGTGAACACAGTTTCATTGTTCTTTAGCTAGTGTGAATATTGGAAAAAAATGGTACTGAACAGACAAAACAATTATAATTTTATACAATGGAATTCAAATATTTTTAGCTAGTCCACACTGTTAGCTTCCTCAACCTGGTACCCTCCACACATGTTGGAATCTATCCATGTAAAATTATGGGAATCATGGGAATTGAAGACCAACACAACTGGAAGGCCTCAGGTTGTAAGCAAGTTGGTTTAGACTGTATGACTACTATAGAAAGGATGTTGAAAACATCTGAGCAATAATTGCTGAAAAGTCAAATAGGAGTTTAGCAGGATATCGTTCTGGGAGATAGGTCTCTTACATAGCTCTTTTAGAGTCTAAAAAGAAATTCTATGAAACTTGTTTTAAAAAAAGATTTTTGCTCTGATAATAAACAGGAATTTCTAGGTATGATGGCTAATGACCACTAGTGAACATCTAAATTCCCCCTCACTCTGCCTGGAAGAAATAGTAAGGGTATTTAATCCAAATGAGTATGTTTCAGCAAATATGCTTCACCTGCATGATCCAGATGATAGAATTTGGATTGTGTACAGTGATGGGTATGGCAATATCAGAAAAACAAGAGTCACTCTACAGGGGCTACCCTGCTTTTAAGTCATTGGATGGCTGGGGAAAAACACAATATTCTTGAGAATGCAGTGAGCTATCTGGTGAAGCAGGAACATTTGGCACATGATTGCCACGAGCATCTGGACTACAGATTGCTGCCAAGGCCATGAATGTTTCACAACACCATATAATACACATGTCTCCCCTCCTCCTGGTGTGCCTCATCGTGATCCCCTTCTTGCACCCATGCAGGTCTCTGAAACCGTGGCGCTCCTTTCAGCCACAGTACGGGGGGAACTGACACAGCTTGAGGAGACACTGTCCCAGAGGACTGAACTGGTGGCTGTGGTCCGGAACACGCGCCGCCAGGCTGAGGCAGTGGCACAGACCTTGGATGGTGTCCCCTTCTGGAAAGAGGCCCATGGAGGGGCCAGCATCCTAGCAGAACAAGTTGGCTATTTGGAAGACTACAGGTAAGATTTGAGGGTGTGGAGAGGCTATGATTTAATGAATATAAGCCTGACAATAGCATAGGAACCAACCGAAGGACAGGATTGCTGCAGAAACTAGGGCTGGCCCTACCATCTGGCAGAGCCAGGCAGCTGCTTCAGTGAGTAGTTGATGGAAGCAGGGACTGGGTATTAGAAATCAGGGCTGTATGGTGCATAACTTTGTGTCCATAAAGTAGCCTGATTCCTTCAGGTTCAGTGGAAGTGCTGCCTCATCTCCATGACTGTAGAAAAATTCAACATTAGTCCAATCGGATTTGGTCCATGGAACAGGAGGGATCCCATCTTGTTTTTTGCTGCAGGTAGTAAAATACCTTGATCTTGGACCTAGGGAAATGGAACAGTAGGGAGGAAAGTATAACTCAAGAATGTATAGTTGGGTGGAATTAACCCAAGTAGAGATGACTAGAAGAAGAAAGGATAGAGGCATATGACATGCTGGTTGAAACTGTTTTGGCATGAAAGGTGCCACCATGGGCTAAAATAGGTGAAAGATCTGGGCTTCATTTTTTCCTTACTCTGTTGCTCTCTGACTCCCTCAGGTGGTTGGCCTACATCTTACTGCTGCTATTGGACCTTATCATCTGTCTCTTCACCTTGCTGGGACTGGCAAAGCAGATCAAGTGGCTGGTAATCGTGTGAGTGCACCACCTGGTGGGCATATCTGGGCACAGAAATCGAGGGATGCAAAACAGGAGCAAACTTACAAGAGCTGTCCTAGTTCAAGAGAGATTTAGACTGGTCTTCTACTATCGTCCATCCCAATTATTGCTCCAAAAGAATCAATCATATTCTCTTAAAGATAGCCAATACCTTAGGATTTTTGGTAGTTTGAGGAGATGCTTAATATCAGATGTAACCACAGGTAATGATGTATTCTAAAGGTATCCAGAGGTGATGAATAGTCAGTTCCAGGGAGTCACACTGATAAATTTAATGTTCTATAAATGGGGGAGAGATAACTTTGCAATATTCAGTTTATTCACAGCTGTACCATAGGGCATAAATGGAGGCAGAGGGATCCTCCCACAAGATGGCAGATTTAATAATATTAATTTGTTAAATTTACATGCCACCCAACTCCCAGTGACTCTTCAGATTTGCTACCTCCCACTCTAAGGTACCTCATATTCACTGGGTTTGCACCACATGTGTTACTCAGTGTATTATGCAAACCCTTCCTGAGCAGCTTAGGGTTCAGTGTTATTAAGTTAATTCAGTTTACTTAATCAAGGGTTAGTATGCTGTGCTACTGAGACCAAAAGACTTGGTCCAGAAGTATGCAGTTTCCACCTTTGGTTTATAGCTGGCTTCTTCAATCTGATATCCTACAAATATCAAAGACATTGACTCCTGTTCTCCCTTCCTTCATTTTTTTTTTCCTCATTGCATTCTGTATCAAGGCCATTTTTTTAAAACTACAGCCATTCTTTCCTAGTGATTTGCAGCATCTTGTAGTATATAACCCAGCCTGTTATAAAGCCTGCCCTCATTACCGTTATCTCAGCACAATGACGGTAGGATGATGTTATAAATCACCTGTGAGGAAATGGATTTAGCTAGAGGGCCATTCTCCATTGCTGAGTTAAAGTTTTGTTTATGAGTCAGCAGAAACCGATACAGTATAAAACTTGCTGCCCTCACAGCCAATCTTTCTATAGCCACTGTGCAATAGGATTCATGGATTCCTGACTTTGTTTTCCTTCCACTCCACAACATCATCAGCCAGTGACAAAACCTCTTCCGATCACCTTCATTAACATGGGGTGGGGCTCAGAAAGGAGGCGAGTTTTGACAGAGGACTAGAATGGTGGGTTTAGCCATCGGTGAAAACTCCCTCCCAGTTTTGTATGTTCTGACGAGTGCATTCAAAACAAGCCTGGTTGATGAGCAGAACGGGGAGGCCACGTGGTGAAGCAGGAGAACTTCACTGTGTGCCACCCCATCCCCTCGACAGCTGTTAGCTGAGCTTGTTTTCAAGCAGCCAGACAGCTTTCAACCTTATTTAACACCCGAACGGTGCCGCTAGCTGCTCCCGAACTGTGAGATGCTTAAAAACAACAAACTAAAAAAAAACAAAAACAGCTGGCTCCCACCAGCTGATGAGAAATCCCTCTTTACTTGCTAGGTCTCTGAACTGGGAATCAGAGTCCTGGCAGATAAAGGAGAGCCCATTTGGAAAGACCTGGATGCTCCTGCTGCAGAACCAGAATTGCCCTAGCAGGCAGTGTCTAGGAACCAGAGGGAAAGGGGCATGCCTGCACCAGCCTGAATTGCTTGATCAATGCCAGGTTGATCCCATCTCCTAGCAGTCACTTGCCCATGCCATTAATGGAATGGTTGGTGAAGCACGTCAGATTAAAAGTGCCTCAGACAATAATGCCCCTTTAAGACAAGAGCGGGATGACTTAAGGCTGCCTCAGGTATGGATTGGTTGCTGAGGCATATTTGTCTCATGAGTAGATTCAAGTGGGAAAAGGCCAGGAATACACGTTTGGCAATACTGATAGGGCTCTGAATGTAAGTGGTCTCTTCGGTACTCAAACCCACTCCTGCAAGCTCATTGCTATGCAGAGCATCATCTACATTCATTGGGATTGTTAACATTCCTTTGTCTAGTCTTAGTCAGGCATCTCTTGGCGGAAAACCTTCTTGATCAGCTCAGTGACAGAAATCATATTATCAAATTCACAGCAGATTGTACAAAAGCTCTCCTTGGATGCAGAATAACTGCCTTTCAGTTCAAAAGCTGTTTTTAAATTCAGTCTGAATCTTGACTGCAGCATGAACTTCCAGTAACTGGGTGCTGGGAGGCTTTTCCTCCTGGCTGTGTTCATGTGTGTTGGTCAAGTTGGCTGAAAAGTACACCAGCATAATTTTCTTTCCTCTGACTAACAGGCGCTGATCTGCACCATAACAAGACCTGCAAGCGGTCTTATCCTTAAAGCCTTACTCCAGGGCAATTTAAGAAAAGCTATTTGAGGACACCTTTAACTTCATTTCCATCCCCTCCTGTTAATCAACCAGTGGGAAAAACCACCACCAATCACACTCTCAAAAGTGCAATGGGGAGGCATGTGTGGGGGTGGGTAGGTGCCTGGGATGGAGAACTTAATCATCTTTGAAGTTGCCCAAGTGACAAGTTACTGACGTGGAGGTGCTTCATGCCAGTAACCTATCATTGGGCTATTTCTGAGCATGGGTCTATGGGTCTTTTAGTGACCAGCAGGCCACATCCCAAAATAGCCTGGGAGGAGGGGGAAGATGTAGGAAGGAGCTTGCAGAGTACATCGAGAAAGCTTCCAGGTCTTTTGAAAGACTATTCAACACATTTTAATAACATGTTTATTGGACTTCTAGAAGGCCACTATCCCAACATACAAAGTGAGCCCATGTAATGCCTGAGTGGTGCTTTGGAAAGTATGAGTCAGATGCGTCTGTGTAAACCAGGTATCCAATATCTTCTGTAGCCCAAGCCAGAATGGGCTTCAGCAGCCCTATTCAACCAACAGGAGCTTAACAGGTGCAGCCCCTGACTACATCATCATCAAGTTCATGAATGGGGCACCTTAGATGGTTCACATAGCAAGACTTGTACTGGGAAAAACCGGAAAAGACTACTTTACGCTGAAACAGCTACAGTTTAGGCAGCCTTTGAGGTAGACCGGGGATGAGATGGACTGTGTTATTAAGACAGCGTTTCTAAAAACAGTTAGAAGGCCATCTTTGTGCCATGGTTAGCAGGGCATGAAGATAAACCATTTTTGCTCTCCATGCAGCTTTTTGAGATATGGAACACTATCAGAAAGAAAGATGACACAACCAACCCATCTTGATCTCCCTGCTCATCTGAATGCTGTTTTTGTTTTTGTGCTAATAGAATGACTGTTATGAGTTTCCTGGTCCTCATCCTAAGCTGGGGCTCCATGGGGCTGGAGACAGCAGCAGCTGTGGTGAGTGATGGGCTATGGGTAGGTAGTGTTTGAGAGTGATGTTGGTCAAACAACAAGCAGCATCTTGGGAGAATGGGAGGATGCCAGCAGAGGGGGGAGGCCATTAGGGTTAACCTAGCCATATTAGCAAACTGTGTAGCAACCTACAGCAAAATAAACTAAGGGGAATCCACTTCTGATATGGACAGCTCTTCATGAGCTAATATATTCCAGGTTTCATAAATGAAAACAGCGGCACATTTGTAATACCCCCTATGATCATATCAAACATTACTGCCTAACATTGCCTGGACATTTGCTTCAGGTACCACAGCTGAGAGGTCTCCTACCACCGGTAAAGCAGTGGACTTTCAGGGCTGTAACTCCATTCTGCATGGCTCACTAGCTAGGAATTATGGAAACTGAAGAGAGAGTACTAGGTTGAGGGGTGGAAGGCTGTTCTACTGCTTTACACTATATTTACAAATTCTGCAAGAGGCTATCCTGTAACCATTTACAGCCTATGTAGTATGCATTCTTTGAGGTGTATTAAGACAGAACTGCCCAACAGTATCATGGTTCAGAATAAAATCTCAGCAACTACAGTATATAAAAAGAGCAGGCAGCTTGGTCAGGACATACAGGAGGATGTTACTATCTGTATGCAAGCATTTCCACGCATCAACAGAAACAAAATTCTTCTGTTCCCTATTCTGGACACCCTAAGAAGCTGAAACTGGTGAACATCAAGTCTTATAATGGACATTTTACTTTCCTTTTTTAAACAAAGCATCCTTCCCCACCACAAACACACTAATAGGGTCAGTAATTTAGCAAGGGCAGATCATAAAATTAGGGCTGTCCTTACAGTATTTTTAGGTGCAATGCAAATACAGAAGAGCTAAATTCTCCTGCAAAGACTGTGCTTCATATTCTCTGGATACACAGGAACAGGCTTTCTAGGGAACTTCAGCAAACCTTGAGCTAGCCCTGGGGCAATCATATAATTGCAAGGTATCCTATTTGATTTCTTTCAAAACATAGATTTTTAGCAATGATGCTATCCAGAGTAGGACTGGTGGGGCAGAAGTCCAGGACCCTACCCAGGAGGAGGACCCAAAAATGAAGCAAAGCTACTACTGCATTCCATAACAAGTGGGAATCTAATTACCATCTAAAAAAGCCACCCCCCTATAAAACTCCTAAGTCCTGGTGTGCATAAACTGTGTCAGAAAAAGGGCCACCTCGGGCTTTGCACAGAATGTTGAAGGGACAATCCAAAAGCTAGCAGAACCTGAACCCAATTTAGGAGGAGACTTCAGGGCTTTCAAGAAGTGAAATGGGTGCCTGAAACCCTGCAAAAAAGAAAGGAAAAATGCAAAAGAAAAAAAGAAAAAAGTTTGGCCCCATCCATCCTGGAGGAGATCTGGGCCCAAAAAGTGAATTCTGGTAGGCCCCATGGAACTCCTGGGTTGGACATTTTGCACCCTTAATGTAAAGGCACCACTGTATGAAAAAATAAAAATTCAGTTGTATTTCTTGCCACTGCATGTAGAGGAACTGGTACAGTGTTTGGCCCCCAAGCAGGCACTCTGAGCACCGTCCCCCACCCTCCCCCCCGGGCACAGTGGCTACTTTCTGAAATCACAGGGACAGCAGCCAACCAAGCTGGCTGGTGGCCTTGCCTGGGAAACTCGGTCTTCTGTTCTCTGGAGCACAATAATTTAATTGCTGGCATTTTCAGCCAGAGGGGTGGTGGCATTTGGAGGGGGGTAGGGGAGTGGGGCTGGTGATGAAGGGATTTTCTCACCATCTCAATCTCTTGATGTATATTCTTACACACACAACACACATACATGCACACACATGCCTACACTTTCCTCTTACTGATGCTTTTAATTAGTAGGCGTTATTCAGAGTCCCTGGGGGAAAGAAGGGAAAACTGCATTTTCCATCTGTCTCAGTATAAACCCTCTCAGTTCTGCCCTTCTGAGAAGGAGTGGTTTAAGTGCTTGTCTCATCAGTATGCAACCCCTTCTGAGTTGTACCCAAGCCAAACTGCACCTCTTCCCCATTAGTCCAGCTGAGCCCCCACAATGCTATTCCAAATCCAGAGTCTCTCTTATGCCAGTTATGCCTCTTACTCATCTGGGGCTGCCTCTCATTAAGATGTAGGACTTCCCCTACAGATCTGGAAGTCCTCCTGTTCTGATTCAGTCTTCTCCAACCTGGTGCCTATCAGCTCTATTATGAATGTCCCATAACTTCATTGCATTTCTCAATGCATTCTCAAGTAGGCTGAGTTGAAGCAGGGTGATTTTGAGGCCAAATATCTGCATTGGGGGAGGCACTTGTTTTAATAAATATTTTTGGTGACAGAATCATAAGATTCAGGGCAATAACATTATGATGTCCTTCAAGTGGGCAAGGTTACTTTTTTTTCCCTCCTAAGAAGTAAAATGAGAACAGGAGTTCCAATTTTAGATGCACTAAGCTGATCCAAAAACTTAGCATATTTTATTTCTTTGTTTCCGCACCAGAAGTTGGCAGGAAATCGTGCTGTCAACCTTTGGTGATTTGTCAATGAATTTTGACTGCTTAATCTTTGTGGATTCTGGGATCTGGGTCTGCAAACTCAAAAGTGGAAATCGTGGGTTCCCTGCACATTGTCAATTGACCATCCTGGCCTTAAAGGAAAACTCTACTGCAAACACCATGATCGTGGCCTTTATCAGTTGATTCATTCAAACAGTTTTGACCGTGTTCTTCAGCTGAAGACAACCAACAAGCTTACAGTCTAAAACAGTGTTTCTCAACCGTGGCAACTTTAAGATATGTGGACTTCAACTCCCAGAATTCCAGCATAGCTGGCTGGGGAATTCTGGGAGTTGAAGTCCACATATCATAAAGTTGCCAAGGTTGAGAAACACTGGCTTAAAAAGAGATGGCAGGAAATGAAAAAGAGAAGAGGAAAGCAAGCAAACTGAAGCATTATTCAGTCCTAAAGTTAGAGACTCATAAGGCTCAGCTGGTTAAAGGATAATCCTGCTTCCCCTCTCTTCCAGTTAAAGGAAGGCCAAGCAGAGGGAGAAGGCACCTGAGCAAATGAGTAGCAATTCTTGATGGGCTACCCTGGATCAGAGAACCCTTCCCTAATGATCAGCCTGCAGTGATTTACAATGCTTCTTATTCCATTTTTCTTTCTTTTAATCAAAGCAGCAAGTTGAGTGGAGGACTTTTAGGAGGAAAGGAGAGCATGGAAAAGACCTAGTTAAACCTTTCCTTCACAGCTGTACTTACCATCACGGTTCCCCATTTCTTTGTAAGGAAGCAAAAATTCAGGCATTCCCAACTCAGCCATGTCTTCAGTTCCCACATTCTAATTAAAAGTCCTTGTCTATTATATCAGCCTTGTCCCCCATTCCTCCAAGACATCAACTGTTGCTTTCTTTATGGATCTAATGTATGTATCTTTCTCTGTGTGTCTTTTTTACCATCAGATTCTCAGGACAGCCTAGAACATTAAACGTATTTTCACTTTATCTTATTCTCTGTGGTTGTGTTTGCACAACCCATTTACAGATGATTGCCTTAACCACGGTTTACCCCATTAACTCAATTTTCTGAGTTTGCGTAAGACACTGACCCATAAATCAAGCATGCTGCTTTGCACAACACTCCGGGCTTAAACGTGGCTAAACAGTAATTCAACGTGTTGTGCCAATCCAGCCAGTTTTCCACTTCTCCCAATGAGGGGTCATGGTTCTTCCAGACTCCATGACTTTCCGTACATTTTACAACTCATTCCTCCTCACCGTTTATTACTTACTACAACCAACCCAAACCTGTACCCTTTTGGGGCCAACACTCTTTTTCCCAACTTAGTTGTAGCAACTTGTGTGGTCCAAAGGCCAGTGACTCTAAGTGTCCCCTTTTGACAGCTGCCAAGTCTCCT